TCATGAGGTGGGATCATAGATGCGCACTTCTGAAGAGTCCCATAATAGGACGTAATAGCCATCCAATGTTTCCAGGTTTTTCAAGATGATCTAGCTTCAATTAACTTGTGAATTCAACTATCACAAAAGTTTCGAGTTATCTTTACTAAATAGTGACTAGCTTTGTGAGAAAATCCTCGGAGTTCTGGTGAGAAGCCGTGATCAGTGGAGCTAATCCGTGTCGGGTAGAAACAGGTGTCTACGTCGGTACAATCGAAGATGGTCGCGCAATTTTGTGGATCGACTGAGGTTAGACATTAACAACATTGGATGTCGGCTCAGTGGTCTAGTTGGTTAAGCGCCTGGCGCGACACTCATAGGTCCTGGGTTGGAATCTCGTGGGGTGCGGGATCGTAGATGCGCACTGCTGAAGGGTCCCATGCTAGGACGAAACGGCTGTCCAGTGGTTCCAGGTTTTCCATGATGGTCTAGCTTCAATTGACTCATGATTTCAATCAAAAATAGTTTGTAGTTAAGTTTTTTTTGTCATTCTTGACAATATCCTTTCCAATGAATACTACCTAATCAAATCATTTCACTTAGAGTTTAACAATATCAAAAACATCTATCTTAATCTCAATATATCCCATTAATTAAAGTAAGTATTCACAATTCCATATATAGTAGTTTCTCATGTTAAAATTGTTTATTACATTATACTAACGAATTTTATTAACCTTCTTATGATTCATTATCTTGTTTTTTGTTTTTACATTTTTAGAGTTCACTAATAGACAATCCCTTCCATTCTTTGACACCTTACTCTTCAATAATAATAATAATAATTGGCCTCATTTACCTATCTACCTAACTACTTCATTCAATATGATCGATCTATTTTCACTTCTAATAATCAAGTCATCTGTTTCTCTCCTCCCTCTCCCTCTCTCCCTCATCCCCCTCTGACTTTCTTTCTCTCTCTCTCTCTGTGGAAACGTTTAATAACCATAATCATTGTATTCTATATACACATTAATTATACAATTGTAATTATGAATACAAACAAACAGACAAACCAACACCCCCTTTTATTAATAAAATCATTCAATGCATATTACATTTAGTAAAAGAGAAATGCATCATATATTTCTTCTATCTCTCTTTTCTCTCTTTTTCTTATGTTGTTGTTGTTATTGTTGTGATTATTATCGTTATTATTATTTTCCATTCAATTTTTTCTCAGTTTTACAACGAATAGTAAAACACAAAAAAAATTTTTTTTTCTAGAAAAACCAACAACAGCAACAACAACAATGAAAATAAAATTTTAATAAAGAAAAACTAATAACAAAAATAATAAGTGTAGTCATTTAAATGAATTTAAAAGAAAAAAAGAAAAAAACGAGAGAAGAACAAAAAAGAAAAACAAAAAAGAAAAAAGAATTCAAACTACCAATCAAAATAATGAATCGATGTTCAATCTATATTTTTTTGTTTGTGATAAAAAAAGAAAAAGAAAAAAAAAGAAGAAGAAAAGAAAAAGATTCACATAAAAAATTGACTGATATCGAGAAAAGAAATTGAATGAATAAAAAAGAAAAGAAAAACCAACAAAATAAATATCTTAGTAACAATCATTTTTCGTTCATTTTTTTTCTTCCTTTCTAAAAAAAAAATCGAATCTTTTGTTTTTTTTCATTGTACAACTGCTCAAAATGTTTCTTTTTCTTTATTGTTTTTTTTTGTTTTTGTTTTATTCAAATAAAACATTTAATGTTTTTATAGGTTTTGTTATGTGATGTAAACCATAGAAGATGAGTAATGAATAGATGTGGATAAATACGTTTACATGAGTTATATAATACCATTGTAGATGGTGGAGAAGATTTGTTGGTCAGATGGATGATTTTGATGGAGTTTTGTTCTTTGAGCTGGATGGTTTGAAGTTTTTATCGTTCTTTTGAACGACATCATCATCAGCGCAAACTTCAGATAGAAATGATTTTATATTTGGTTTTCAGGAGAAACAGAAACTATCCAGACTATTACATGACAACTCAACTGTTTAATCCTGTTTAACAAGAGAGCCAGATAACGCATAGGCTTAAAATTGGTAGCTCAAATAGTAAGACTCAATCCAGTTTCTAGGAGAAGCAGACATAATTCAGGCTTAAACTTTATAATCTGATCAGTACAGCTCAATCTTGTGGCGCAAACACACAGGTATGAAGCTTCGAAGTGGACCAACGTGTACATTAGATAACTCATTATTAGTAGATAAGGTTTGTGACAGTTTTCAATTGTAAAGGTAGAATACATCATTGAGTAACTTGTATGAACTGACTTATTAGAAGTCACATACTGTTTGACAGAGGTTTCAGCTTGATAATGAACTTCATAGAAATTTGTACTTACAATATCATTTAAAATCGTACTAAAAACCTGTGCGTTCTTTGGTCTTCCACTTCTCCTTTGGCGTTGAGGATTCCAAGTGAGGGCTTATCTTGTGATGCAGTTAAGAGCTTTCCTTAATTTGTGTCCTATCCAATTCCAACACTTCTCTCTGGTTTCTTCCCCCACTGAGATCTGGTTTTTTCTCTCCCACAGTAGGATGTTGCTGATAGTTGCTGATGGCCAACGGATCCGAAGTAATGTAACTGTTAATAAACGCTTTCGTTGTTCTCCCCATACAGTAGAACTATCTTGACATTTGTATTGAAAACATATTTACATATTCACATATATTAAAAAGCAAATTGATGATGAATCGTTTGTGCTAGTATACAGTAAATGACAAACTTTATACTCAGAATACTATGTAGTCTGAGTTCAAATGAGAATTGAATCCGAAAACCATTTCAGACAAGAGCACGTTATTGTGGATACAACGTTTCTATAAATCTCGACAATCCCCTATATATTTAAAAGACTTTTTCACTACAGTTCAAGATGTTATCACAGTACTCATGCGTGATCTTATCAAAAAAATAATGACGAACTAGATACATTCATTTTGTAGTGAAGGGCCTCATGTATTTTTAGACCACTGAGCCAAAACAGAATAATGAAAGTACTCAAAGAGATGTATCTTATAATATTCAGAAAAATCTATTCTACAATTGATAACAGTGCTACCATGAATTTTAATCTTTTCATCTTAGCTTCAATCCATTCCATATTTCTGGTATATGAACATTTAAATGAATGTATCTAATATGATTCCCATATGTGTCATGTGACATCAACTGTTATATGCATAAATCAATATACCCCATGAAAGCCTAGATTCTCAGCATTTATAATTTTTACATTTTACATTTACCTTGTCTTCAAATAACTATACTGTAGCGAAGGAGAACACAGATGAAGACAACCAAATTATGAGTTTCTTGGTAAAATAGAAAAACCATACTATAATACTTAATTTGCAAAATGTTCAATAATTGTCTCGAACTTCATTGTTCATGCATTTCCATACTAATTGCTTTCTATTTCCGCTCTTCCTTTCCGCATCTTCCGCTGCCAGACATTACATTCCTGACTCGCGTTATATACTACTTATATCAATATGAGTAGCATGCCCCACAGTACTTTCAGATTGAAACTCTATATTAAACGAACTACTGAACGATATGTATTTATTAAAAGAAAAACCATATATTCATTTGATATTATTTACTTGAATCATACCATTGATGTTTAGGACTGTAATTGATCCCAATCTCTTAGTGGCATATGTGGATACAGTATGGATTGCCTCATCATTATTGCCTTAATTCACAAGCATTATAAACAAAAATGGACAATGGCTAGTAGACGATTGCAAGAATCACATTTTATCTTTTTTGAGATTCGTCATCTAGATGTACCTGAATCTCAGAGTTGATGTTTAGTCCTGAATATCAATCTGAAGTTTCAAGGAAACAATACTAATTGAGTTTAAACTTCAACCTATTACACAAGCAATTGATTATCAATACTCAATAGCTAATTAGATCATGTGTTAGTATTTGAAATAAACAATACTGGGTTCGAGTCTACGAGTGAACATCAACTCTAATCTTAACTAAGATGAAATGCATCACTTGAATTCTACTATTATCCACTATCTATCATCATCTCAAATAATATTCTACATATAAATGATTCAAAAATCGATTAAAAAAAACGAGGTAATTATTCAGTAGTAAAAATAAAACAAAACAAAAAAAAGAGAGAACAATTTGCAATTAATATACATTAAGTAAATCATATAGAAACTAAATATTTGTCACATCAATAAAATTATTTTTTTATTTTTCTTTATTCCATTTTTTTCTTTCTTTCTTTTTTTTGTTTTTTTCTCTATTTTCTTTCTTTCACATTCATACATAATGAAACTCTATTATAAATCTATTTCATAAGAATTAAGTAGATGGATTGACATGTAAACTAATCATATTATTAATGATTATGACAAGAATAATCTTCTAATTACTTGTATTATATATAATCTTACTGATTATCATAATACATTCACATTAACAGGTAATATCTACATGGTATTGTATTATTAGTAGTGGTAGTAGTGGTAGTAGTTTAGTGGCCCATGGCTCTGACTCCTATTTAGATCGTATGGATGTTTGCTATCGCCGATTCTCGTATATCATCGTCGACTTTAATCACGTTAGTCAATAACGGAATTAAATAAGTCAAATAACGAGAATGAGATTTTGAATACGTATACTTTGTATATAAGGTGAATGGAATAACAGGAAGAGAAGCGATGCAGAGTGGAGATGACTGGTAAGCCAACTCATTTTTAGTCAGGCGTTAATTGATATTTATAGGCAGACAAAATAAACTACAGACATGTGATGAGTCATGGGACATGAAGTGTACACACATATACGCTCATATAAAAACAGTCTAGATTGATATGCGAATAAATAACAAGGTCAAAGTATGGCTCAAGTAGAAAGAATAGAATCGGATGTCCGAAAGCTAGAATAAGGTATATGGGCTTGACATAGTAACTGACACTACAGTAGTAGTAGTAGTAGTAGTAGTAGTAGTAGTAGTAGTAGTAGTAGTAGTAGTAGTAGTAGTAGTAGTAGTAGTAGTAGTAGTAGTAGTAGTAGTAGTAGTAGTAGTAGTAGTAGTAGTAGTAGTAGTAGTAGTAGTAGTAGTAGTAGTAGTAGTAGTAGTAGTAGTAGTAGTAGTAGTAGTAGTAGTAGTAGTAGTAGTAGTAGTAGTAGTAGTATAGTAGTAGTAGTAGTAGTAGTAGTAGTAGTAGTAGTAGTAGTAGTAGTAGTAGTAGTAGTAGTAGTAGTAGTAGTAGTAGTAGTAGTAGTAGTAGTAGTAGTAGTAGTAGTAGTAGTAGTAGTAGTAGTAGTAGTAGTAGTAGTAGTAGTAGTAGTAGTAGTAGTAGTAGTAGTAGTAGTAGTAGTAGTAGTAGTAGTAGTAGTAGTAGTAGTAGTAGTAGTAGTAGTAGTAGTAGTAGTAGTAGTAGTAGTAGTAGTAGTAGTAGTAGTAGTAGTAGTAGTAGTAGTAGTAGTAGTAGTAGTAGTAGTAGTAGTAGTAGTAGTAGTAGTAGTAGTAGTAGTAGTAGTAGTAGTAGTAGTAGTAGTAGTAGTAGTAGTAGTAGTAGTAGTAGTAGTAGTAGTAGTAGTAGTAGTAGTAGTAGTAGTAGTAGTAGTAGTAGTAGTAGTAGTAGTAGTAGTAGTAGTAGTAGTAGTAGTAGTAGTAGTAGTAGTAGTAGTAGTAGTAGTAGTAGTAGTAGTAGTAGTAGTAGTAGTAGTAGTAGTAGTAGTAGTAGTAGTAGTAGTAGTAGTAGTAGTAGTAGTAGTAGTAGTAGTAGTAGTAGTAGTAGTAGTAGTAGTAGTAGTAGTAGTAGTAGTAGTAGTAGTAGTAGTAGTAGTAGTAGTAGTAGTAGTAGTAGTAGTAGTAGTAGTAGTAGTAGTAGTAGTAGTAGTAGTAGTAGTAGTAGTAGTAGTAGTAGTAGTAGTAGTAGTAGTAGTAGTAGTAGTAGTAGTAGTAGTAGTAGTAGTAGTAGTAGTAGTAGTAGTAGTAGTAGTAGTAGTAGTAGTAGTAGTAGTAGTAGTAGTAGTAGTAGTAGTAGTAGTAGTAGTAGTAGTAGTAGTAGTAGTAGTAGTAGTAGTAGTAGTAGTAGTAGTAGTAGTAGTAGTAGTAGTAGTAGTAGTAGTAGTAGTAGTAGTAGTAGTAGTAGTAGTAGTAGTAGTAGTAGTAGTAGTAGTAGTAGTAGTAGTAGTAGTAGTAGTAGTAGTAGTAGTAGTAGTAGTAGTAGTAGTAGTAGTAGTAGTAGTAGTAGTAGTAGTAGTAGTAGTAGTAGTAGTAGTAGTAGTAGTAGTAGTAGTAGTAGTAGTAGTAGTAGTAGTAGTAGTAGTAGTAGTAGTAGTAGTAGTAGTAGTAGTAGTAGTAGTAGTAGTAGTAGTAGTAGTAGTAGTAGTAGTAGTAGTAGTAGTAGTAGTAGTAGTAGTAGTAGTAGTAGTAGTAGTAGTAGTAGTAGTAGTAGTAGTAGTAGTAGTAGTAGTAGTAGTAGTAGTAGTAGTAGTAGTAGTAGTAGTAGTAGTAGTAGTAGTAGTAGTAGTAGTAGTAGTAGTAGTAGTAGTAGTAGTAGTAGTAGTAGTAGTAGTAGTAGTAGTAGTAGTAGTAGTAGTAGTAGTAGTAGTAGTAGTAGTAGTAGTAGTAGTAGTAGTAGTAGTAGTAGTAGTAGTAGTAGTAGTAGTAGTAGTAGTAGTAGTAGTAGTAGTAGTAGTAGTAGTAGTAGTAGTAGTAGTAGTAGTAGTAGTAGTAGTAGTAGTAGTAGTAGTAGTAGTAGTAGTAGTAGTAGTAGTAGTAGTAGTAGTAGTAGTAGTAGTAGTAGTAGTAGTAGTAGTAGTAGTAGTAGTAGTAGTAGTAGTAGTAGTAGTAGTAGTAGTAGTAGTAGTAGTAGTAGTAGTAGTAGTAGTAGTAGTAGTAGTAGTAGTAGTAGTAGTAGTAGTAGTAGTAGTAGTAGTAGTAGTAGTAGTAGTAGTAGTAGTAGTAGTAGTAGTAGTAGTAGTAGTAGTAGTAGTAGTAGTAGTAGTAGTAGTAGTAGTAGTAGTAGTAGTAGTAGTAGTAGTAGTAGTAGTAGTAGTAGTAGTAGTAGTAGTAGTAGTAGTAGTAGTAGTAGTAGTAGTAGTAGTAGTAGTAGTAGTAGTAGTAGTAGTAGTAGTAGTAGTAGTAGTAGTAGTAGTAGTAGTAGTAGTAGTAGTAGTAGTAGTAGTAGTAGTAGTAGTAGTTGTAGTAGTTGTAGTGTTAGTATAGTGAACAGGAACACTAGCAGTGACAATCGAATGTATTTTTTGATAGAATTAGAGGAGCCTCACCTGTGGCCTCCTCTGACACATAACACATTGTTGGGATATTCAGAAAAATATCCTAAAAATTATTATGTTAAGTCTAATGATAACATTGGACTTGAAGTGGTATCATTTTCCAATTGGTCATTATTTAATTCACGTGTCATTTTCTTGTTGGGCAAATACTGTACAGTGTTATTTTCTATTTTGTGGTACGTTGTGGTCTGTCTGGTTGATATATAAACCGAGTATGTTTGAAATGAATGATTCATATTAGAGATGTTCGGATTGGTGTTCTGGACATAAGTGGCTGGGCTAGGCGGAAAGCAGGACTAATCAGAACTCTAGGCTGCTCACACGTGTTTTACGCGTCCTTCGTCTGATCGATAATTCGCTGCTCTCTAACCGGCGGTCACAAGTTATAACACACATGAATACACTCATATCTAAAATCTGAAAAGTCATGTGAATCAAGTCGTTTTTATCAGGCGTTATTCAATATTTATATTCAGACACGTAATGAATAGGGTAAGTAATGAATTCATATACGATCATATAACAAAGTAAGGGTTAATAAGAGAATAAGTAATAAACAATCGTCTTACACTTGATTGTTACTTCATTTCCACATCAGTCTATCTCTGTACTTGTTCTCATTTCTTCTAAGATCTTCTAAATGTTCTGCCGTTAGACATTTCATTTTCGATTAGTGATACATACTGTAGTAAACAAGAACACACGCAGGGACAAACGAATGTAATTGAGTACAACATTACAGAATATCTCACTAAAATCTCAGAACCATACAGTAAATAGTTAATTTGCAAAATATCAATCCATCATCTCAAACTTGACTGTTCTTTATGCAAATATCAATACATTGTCTCAGAGTTAATTAATCATGCATTTTCAAACGAATTGCGTTCCGTTTTCGTTCTTTCCTTATCGATCTTTTACTGAAATACATTCTATGTCTGATCATCCTTAGATACTAATTCTGTGGATATAAGTAACCCACACCACAGTTTGAGTAGTATTAGTATTATTACAAAATTAGAATTCTCAGTATAAAATATTTCAACAAGTTCCTGTTTCTTTTATTTCTTGATCGATATTGACGATAATTATTGATTGTTCATCAACATATGTTCACTAGTGACTGGTTTCAAGAGGTATGTTCTAGGGTTTTAGTGAGAATCAGTGATTAGTGCAGTTCAACCGGGTCTGTTGTGAGATAGTAACTCACTGAAGACAATGCTGAATGTATCGCTCAATTTTGTGGATTAGTTGAAGTTAGACATCATTAACACCGTTGGATGCCTACCGGCTCATTGGTCTAGAGGTTAAGTGCTCGCGAGCAAGACTGATAGGTCCTGGATTCGAATCTCACGGGGGCAGGATGGTAGATACGCAGTGTTGAGGAGTCCCACAATAGGACGAAACAGTTGTCCATTACATCCAGGTTTTCCATGGTTGTCTAGCTTCGATTGTCTCATGATCTCAACCATTAAAATTACTATAATATCCACAAAACCCATTCTTATACTAAACAACATATGTGATACGTTCTAACTAATTTCTTGACTGGACTATAGTTTTTTTTATTTCATTCACTTTAATGAAATAGGGTTTAGTGGCCAGGTATCTGAATGTCATTGAGATATACATATCGTTAATACTCGTATATTATCACTGACCTAACACTCGTTAATGAATAACCGAATTAAATAAGCCAAATACGAGGATGTATTTTTGAATACATATATTTCGTACAATCATTGATCCAGACAGACAATCAGGGAATCAAGTGAAGCGAAGAGAGCGAAGCGAAATGACGCTTTAATCAATATTTATAGTCACAAAATTAAGCTACAGACATGTGATGAATGGGATAAGAAGGGCACATTCATATGCGCTCATATAAAACAGTCAAGATTGATAAGTGAATAATTAACAAGGTCAAAATGTAACTCAAGTAGAATGAATAGATTGGCCTGTACGAAAGCTAGAATAAGGTATATATGGGCTTCAAAATAATAATCGACACTACAAGGGTTTATTTTATATGCTAAATGACACAGTATAATTGTAAGTAGAGAAGTGAATTGAAAATATCGGCATACTAACGATTGAATACTGTAGTACAGTGAGGATTAAAAATAGACTGATTTTGACTTGAATTGTTTGTTCCTGTTACTCCTCGTGTAGGAGCATGGGCCGCTCACCAGCAGTCTTCATCCAACTCTGTCCTGGACAATCCTTTCCAGTTGTTTTCATTAGCTATTCATCCTTTTCATATCTGCATCTATTTTCCAACGTAATGTGTTTTTTGGCCTTCAAATTATTCTCTTCCTTTTAGGATTCCAAGTTAAGGCTTGCCTCGTGATGCAGTTTTGTGATTTGTGTAATATATGTCTTATTCAGTTCCATCGTCTCTTTCTAATTTCCTCTTCAGGTGAAAGCTGGTTCGTTCTCTCCCACAGAAGGCTGTTGCTGATGGTATCCAGCTCATGGATATTGAGTATCTTGAGTAGACAGTTATTTATAAATAGTTGTAACTTCTTGATGTTGGTTGTAGTAGTTCTCCACGTTTCAGCTTCGTACAGTAAAACTGTATTTGACGTTCGTATTCAAGATCTTTATTAATCCTTATTTAAGTAATTATCAAGTAGGAAGGTAGATATTGTTAGAAATAATTGGGAAACTATTATCGATGTTAAATTAGTTTCATATGGCTAATGTTGTTCGGTATCCATAAAATAAACCTGGAGATATACGTACATACTGATACAATAATGATCAAATTTTGATGGGATACAAATTGCCATTGATTTAAAGGAAATTGCCAAATTTACAATTCAATAATTACCATGGATAATCAATAAAGAAGAGTAATGATATTGATTTCAAAAATAAAATAAAAAACGAAATAGAATCATATATGCATATCTTCATTGGTAACTAAGTAGAGTCATTGAACAAGAGTCTTTGAAACTATGTGTTTTACTAATTGGAACTGATCAGTAACTTTTAATGAATAGAAACTCCTTTCAAAAATTCTAACCCAGAACAATGAGAATGGTTTAAATTGAATGTTTTAATATTTGACAATATAGTTATTTCATTTTAATAGTTGAAATCATGAGACAACTGAAGTTAGACCATCATGCGAAACCTGAAAATACTGGAAAGCCGTTTCGACTCATTGTGCGACTTCTCAGTAGTGCGCATTCATGATACTGCCTTGAGAGATTCGAATATTTATAGTAGGTTACAATCAACTTGAAATCATAACATATAAAAACTGTGAAAAGAAGAAGTTTATCACAAATTTCATTTTGTATACAATGAACCGATTGAAAACATTATACTTAATGGTTTCTATAGAGGTAAGTGGTTAAAAATAAATTCTTAAGTGAACTTTATCTGGTTATATGTTCACTACAGTTGACATGTAAATTAACTGACAACTGATAGATCATGAAGTAGTAACTAAAGGAATGTTTGTTCAGTCTTTTAATGCTAATTGAATTCTATTCGGTAAATTCCAAATATAGTTACTAACGTTGGTGACTTAATCCTAATTAAGGACAATTGCTACTCAAATAACTTAATGGTAATGTATCATACTATGAAACTTGGTACTACAAGTTTGAAATTCTGAAAGGTACATTAGTTTGTATCACAAACGGGTTTTGTGGAGATTTTAGTAATTTCAATAGTTGAAATCATGAGTCAAATTGAAGCTAGACTACCATGGTAAACCTGGAAACAATGGACGACTGTTTGGTCCTATTGTGGGAATATTTACTATTTTCTTAAATAAATGACAAATGATGACATTGGATGACATTCATGATACCTCTCATACCTATTATGGATGCACACTGCTGAGGAGTCCCACAACAGGACGAAACGACTGTCCACTGCATTAATTTTCTCAAGATCACAAGTACACTTTGTTTTAGTTTAGTATTTCTTGATCAATATTAACGATAAATATTGAGTGATTACCAATTAGATATTAGCATTTCAAAAGTCTACATTGGAATAATGTTCATTCCTTTCTTGTTATAACTCGTGGCCTTGTGCTCTATTAATATATGATGTAATGATACCGCCGATTACAGGACAGTAATTTGTCCACCACACTAATGACGTACAAAACATGTACGAGCAGCCTAGAGTCCTTATTGGTCCTTCTTCCTGACAAGCCTTACCCATTGAGTCCAGAACACCAATTTCAGTCTTCTCAATATGATTCATGTACTTCAAACTGTTATATCTTGAAGGTTTGTTTTCCTGATATACAGCGTATAACTGAGCACTAGAGCATCAAAACCCTCCTAAGTCGCAAAAAGAATACAGAAGACTAATGAAAGGAATATTATTCCAAACAGTGTCAATTATAATACAAAATTGTCAGGTATTTATAGTTTTTAGTAAGAACGAAATCATCATTACAGTCAACCAATCCGCATACAAGGGGTTATTATCGTTGTCCAATCAGGAAGCTACACGTAGGAATTCTGGAATATTCTACCAAAAGGTGATTGGATGGAATATAGCCTCCTACAGCTTCCTCGAGTTCACCCGTGGTCCGTCGTCACACAAACATATTGGGTTTATATACAAACCAAACAGATTACATCATAACATAAAATAGAAAATAACATTTGTACAAGATTTAACCAAATATGGCTATCATTGTGGGAGACTGTAATTCATAGACTGGGCATCACTCAATAATGGTAAGTCGTATAGTGATAGTCTATGGATCAAAATAATAAGAAGAACACGAATATGAATAGTTTAGTTACTTAACAATTATGCAATAAAAATATATGTATAGTATTAGTTTAGAAATAGATTCCAACAGTTACTATTTCGTTATTCTCATTGGGATATAAAACTTTCAATGCATATTGTCAGCCATCACTATGTCGCCGATTGTACAGCGTAAGATGGCAAACTTATCACAAACTCCCTTGAATAGGTTATACAATTAATTGACACAATGATCTATATGATAGGAACAAGAATCCTAGTTAATCAAGTAGATCGCCTTATGTAAATGTGAACGCGTCAAAACTAGCACTAAAACTAATGTCATCAACGTTTTCTAAAGACCACCACTAACATCATGAATGAATCTACATCTTCAAAGACAATAATGAATAAAACAACAACAAAACGAAGAATCAAACAACCAACAATTACACCAATTGTTAATTCCAACGTATCATTCCATTCGGTTATCAACTGTGTTTTTTTTCTAAGCATGAATATCCCGGTAATCATCACCATGTGAACAATAATAAACGTTTTATAATATGTTGATCATTACAAAAATATGACCAGTGAAATGTATAAAATTTAGTTTCATTATACAGTTTTAGTTTGGTTGACATTTTCTCAACAACAACAAAAGAAACTGTACATCAATTGCATATTTTCTATTACAAGGAAACATAGGTTTCTATGACATTTTTCATTTTGTTAAATGAATGACAAATAACTGTCAATGGATGACATGCATCATACCTAACAGATTAATGTTGCTATGTATAAATGATTTGTGTAAAACCTATGAATATTCAACTATGGATTATAATTTATTTAATCTGATCCACGGCTGTTTCGTCCTAATTTGGAACTCCACAGCACTGCGCATCCCCGATCCCGTCTCGTGAGATTCGAACCTATCGGACCTGCTAGTCTCGCGCGCGAACGCTTAACTTGTAGATCACTGAGCCTGCTGGCATCCAACGGTGTTACTGTATAACTTCAACCAATCCAATAAAATAATTTTTTCTACGGGATTGGATTGCCAACCTCATACTTAACCCTCCTCCTTTGTGTGGTCTTGAGATCGGCAGTAACTCTAGAAGAGCTGCAGACAGAGTTATGAATTGTAATACTATCGCATAAAACTCGTAATGTAGTGAACGAGAACATACAAATGGGGGACGATCGAATGCATTTCAAAACAAAATTACAGAATCTCTTAGTAAAATCTGAGAACGATATAGTATATAGTTAATTTGCAAAATATCAATCCATTGTCTCAGATTTCATTATTCATGCATTCTCATACGATTTGCATTCAGTTTCCGTTCTTTCCTTATCGATCTTCCACTGAAATACATTCAAGGCCTTACTTACTTACATACTTATGCCTGTTACTCCTAATGGAGCATAGGCCACCGACCAGCATTCTCCTACTCACTCTGTCCTCCGCCTCCTTTTCTAATTCCATCTAATTCTTGTTCATTTTCCTCATGTTTATCTCCATTTCTCGGCGTAATGTGTTCTTTGGTCTTCCTCTTCTCCTTTGGACTTGGGGATCCCATGTGAGGGCTTGTCTTGTGATGCAGTTGGGTGCTTTCCTCAATGTGTGTCCTAACCACTTTCAACGCTTCTTCCCGATTTCTTCCTCCGCTGGGATCAGGTTTGTTCTCTCACACAGTAGGTTGTTACTAATAGTGTCCAGCCAACGTATCCGAAGTATTTTGCGTACACCACTGTTATTAAAAACACCTGTATCTTCTGGATGATAGCTTTCGTATTTCTCCAAGTTTCCATCTCATACAGTAGAACTGTCTTAACATTTGTATTGAAAATCCTGACTTTGCTGTTGGTTGACAGTTGCTTGGAGTTCAAGATGTTCCTCAGTTGTAAATATGCTGCTCTTGCTCTACCAATCCACGCCTTCACATCTGCATCAGATCCACCTTGTTAATCAATGATGCTGTCTAGATATGTAAAGGTATTTACATCTTCCAAATCTTCTCCGTCAATTGCGACTGGTTCTTGAAATAAATTTTATTGACACATTTCCGTCACCTGATCCTCTTAAATCATCTTAACTTTCCAAACCCTATTTAATTATTATTACGTAATCTACCTTATTATTTAATTCCATTAATCTCTACAATTATCACACAATTTATGAAGTTCACTAAATTATTACACTACCCACCCTGGATTAACTCCCCTCTTTTGACCTCTGACCTGTTTCTAGCATATATATATATAGTTATTATTGTAATCAAGTTATTTACACTCATTTATGTCAATTGTTTCACACTACCTCCATGTAAAAATTCTATCACAATTTTGGTTTGTAAGCAGCTGACGAGAAACCTCGAAATAATATGAATTCATACTATTCTGCACTAATATTTGTTCTTGCTCTATTTAAATTCATAAAGGGAACCAATTGCATGAAATTGTGACTGGATTGGTGCATTCTGTGTTGTATCGGAGAATCCTGCTTTTCCCTTTGTGTATATTGAAACCTACTGCTGCTGAGGCTGCTGCTACACTGGTCGTTTTCTCCTGCATTTTTTGTTGCGATTGCGATAGGAGGGCCATTCAATGCCTGGTCACCGTTATATACTACTTATGTGGATATAAGTAACTCACACCGCAATACAACTTATTACTGCTGAAAGCAGTAGCATAAACCACAACAGTATTGGGAAGACTATTGTGAAGACGACTATTTTATTGATTGACATCACGAACCGATTGATGTTAGGCCACCGCTGGAAACCTATTGTGGGACCCCTCAGCAATGCACATCCACGATTGCTCTCACCGGATTCGAACCCAAGACCTATCATTCTCGCGCGTGAACGCTTAATCTGCTGTACAACTGAGCTGGCATCCAATGGTGTTAGTGTCTAACGTCAACCAATCCACGATATTGCTCTACCATCTTCCACTGTACTTATGTAGATACCTTTCTCTACCCGATACAGATTAGATCCACTGGTCAAGGCTTCTCACTAGAACTCCGAAAATCCCCTCACGACGCTAGTCA